GTTGTGAAGCGAATGCAGTACATTTTGTTTTCTGTCCCATCATTAAGTAACTTTATTTTGTGCCCTGCTACACATTAATCATAAAGCTTTACATTGTGCAAGATGAGGAATGCTCTAAAGTACATGCATGGTCATATGCTTAGTGTTAATTTCCAAAAATGCCATGAACCTTGGTACAGAGCAGCCAAGTGAACAACCTTGTTGAGCGATCTCTACAAAGGCACCAATATGTGTCAGCTGAGGTTTGCATTTGGAGATGCTTGTGGGTTTTTCAGTGTTTTTAAGTGGGCCTACTATGTATATGCTCACATCTCCTGAAGTTTTTTTTTTGCATGTCCTTTTGTTTTAATAATTTTCCTTACTTTCTACATTTTACTTTCTTCAGGATACAATCATATTATCTGCCATGTTCAGATTATGAGCCAATGATGATATTGACCACTCACGCATGTAAATGAGTGACAAATCAGTGTACAGTTATATACAAGGTTTATTGGTCATAAATGCAATGTTGTGTTGAGTTGTCAATTTCGTTTGCCTTCATTATTATCATTTCGTGGTATTGGATCTGGCCTGAAGTTGGCAAAATGAGGCCTGTGCACGTTCCCCTTGTATTTGTTGGGTGTTTCCAGTCATATGAAATGCATCGTAGAGCATATCGAGACATCATATACTGCACAAGCCAGTCGTTCGAGAACATCATCGTCATCAATCGTAATGGCCTTTAGTGCATACTTTGCATGTGCTGGGCTACAACTGATGCCAATGTCGCCAACGGACAAGCCTCGGACTTAAGGAGCTTTGCCCCTAAAATAGCATTCCACACTTGTGCCAACGGCAAAAGGCAGCGCTGATTGACGCTCCCAAGTTTAAATGCACATAAATACTGTATAGAGTGGATGGAGAAATGATTGCTACCGTAGCTCGATCAGTGATAGAACATGAGATGAATTATTCACAAGTCACATGTTCAGTCCCTGCCAGTGGCAACTTATCTTTTCGTCAACTTTTACAGAGAAAGCTGTTATGAGATGAAAACTTAGGTCACGCGTGGTGGCTTAGTTGTCCGCCGCCGCCGGTGTTCGTAACCACTATTGCGAAATAAGAAAAAAAACCTAGTACCAAGGACACAGTGAGGCTCGAACCCAGGTCCGCTACGCGCCAACCCAGTATTGTGCCACTGAGTAATGCCATTTTTTTTTCTTTGTTATCTGAGCCATGCCAGTGCTTGATACTTGTTCGCAAACTTGCCTTAGGCAGGCTTGATATCAGGAAAAGAATCGCGTTAATATGAGTAATAAACCATTTTAGAACAGCAAAAGGACAACAAGCCATCACACAATGCAAAAAGCGTAACGAGTGGGTCGTCCAATTCTTCAACCCATCACAAAAGCTTGTTCTTGTTCACCTATTAACTGTGGTGCATACCCACATCAGGCATAATTCCTCATCGTCGTCAGCCACTGACGATTGTTGTGAATGCTGTTGTGAAAAATGGCAAAAAATACCATTGTGAATGCTGGTCTACTACCAAGAAATTACCAATATTAATGCCGTAGTAGGTACCCAGCAAGTGTGCTTGCAGCAGTTTTCCAATGAGTGTTGAGAAAAGGCTCTGAAAGGCCACTCTTCTGGCTTTCGCTGTGACTGTGCGGTGCCTTCCATGCAAGCCTGGCATTTTTTTTCTTTCTTTCCATTTAAATTACACTCATTTCTAATAACATATCCACTATACTTTCCTTGGCATTATTGTATGTTAGTTCTCGTTAACGTTTATTTTGCATGTAACACATATATATGCTCTGAAATGAAAGTGTCAAATGTGAATGTGTTTTATAATTGTAGACACTGTGAATGGCTCCAATACCTCAATGCAATGTACCTAGCATGTTCATATATGATATCCATTGTGCACATGCTAGAGATACCAGTAAAATATAGCTAGTGTAGTCAAACCACCATGAAAGGGACTTCTACCATACAAAATCAGCACATCATTGATTTATATATATATCTCAACAATGAATGTCATAGTGGTCACTGAGATTTCATTAAGAAAAAGTCTGTTTCTTGTTGAAGACACTGTATGCCTTTACAGCGTAGAAGTAGCCAGAGGGATGGTTGAGGCCTGGGTTCAAATGCTTGGGAAATTTTTTAGTTTATTTTTGTATATATGCTACAAAACATCACACACACATATATATATAGGGATTGGATTGCATGCTGCACTTTTAAATAAAGTCATGCCTCACCTCCTCCGTATATAAACACTGCTTTGCACAAACTTTTTCTATAGTTTCTGCCATGCAAACTTGTGTTATGACATCATAGATATGCTACAGCACATTAACTTTTTGTAAAAACTCTTGTATTTGTGCTTACTGTAAATTATTGGCTTCATTCTTTACCAATTCTTGTGAAATATGAGAGTATATGTGTATCCTTTGTCCTTACATATAGCCATTTAAGTAAAAAAAAAAGAGTGGGGGAAGGGGAGCATCAAGGACAGAGACTTTTTCATCAAAGAAAAGCTTTTGTACACAAGTCATTGTTATAAAGGAAAGAAGGTGACAGAACAATGCACTAAAGGATGATGCCAGAGAGTTGGCAATGTATCCAGGTAATTGTGTGCAAAATAAAATAATAGTCTTTGATGAAGAAATGTTTTTCCAACCATACCAAGCAGCCATTCTGTTGGGAAACAGAGTTTATTACTACCTATCTATTGCCAAGATAACATGTCATGGAATATAATGTGTCTGTACAATCATAAAAGTAGTAGAGGCACTGAGAAAATCGAGAAGTGTAACTACAGTTCACAGCACTTCTAATGAACTTTGCAAGCTTCTGCCTAACACATAAATTACATATTTTACAGCAGTTGTTTTAACGTATTCCATCTACAGTGTGACCTTCCAATATTCTATGCCTTTCTTTCTGAGATTCTCATCTACAGTGTAACATGGACTTGAGTACTCACTCCTCAAGGTGGCTTTTCATGAACTCTCTCTGTGGTACTGTTAATGAGTATCAAGCAGTTGGGTAAGAGGCCCTGTCAAACTTGTTTGATGACCGCACATGTGCCTATGCTTGGTCACTTTGACAGGTGCATTAAGTGCCATTAGAGGCTACAGCGTCTGCTGATGTTGCCAGGTCTTGTGTAAAGGTGTTACTGAATTGTATTTTCATTACATAAAGTACTTATAAGTGAAGCATTCTGAAGTGTTGAAAGTGAAAATGAGTGTATATAGACTCAAAGGACAGAAATTATAAACACTATAAGTTGACCCACCATTTAAAAAGGGTGGTGCCTTGGGTGTTATTTGCTGCAAGCATATCCTACAGCTCTAAGAAGCATAATACATGCACTGAAGCTCTTTTATTCTCGATAAATAATTTAAATTGCTTTACTTATGTGGACAACTCTCAGTTTTGGTAACTGGGTGTCGAGTTGGGCAATGACGTAGCAGTGTAGGTGCCTTGGTCACGTGACCACACAAAGCTGGGATGTATTGTCTGCTCTTGCACTCATGTGCCATACAAGCATATGCAAAACAAATTGCATATGCAACAAAAAGCATGCATATGTAACAAAAATGCATATGCAAACAAAAAATTGCTATGGCTAGCTGCAGCAGCCACAGAAGCTATAGCCATGGCACTCATCCCCAAACTGATATAATAGGCGGGAGGGCGCTGTGATGAACCTTCGTCCCCCATAAAGTGGAACCCAGGTGCACACCTATGCTCACTACAGATCTGGTTTATGTCACTACAACTTTTATTGTCCTTTCTATAGAGCTATGTCAGTGTTCGACACGCTAGCGGAGGGCCTCTATCGAGAGAATGAGCATTTAGGTACACTTTGAAAGTGAAATAAAATATATTCCAAACGTCTGCTGCATTCAACAATTCGTGTGGAGTGTTCTTGCAAACAAAGAAAACCCACAACGGGCTTGTTATAGCCTCAAAATATGATGGCGCCACTCCTTCAACCCGAAAGTGCTGTAAATAAGATAAAATGGCTTGGCTGTGGCATGAAGGAAGAAATTAGGCACTCACCTATAATTAAATCCTATAATTACACTCGTAGTGCAGCCTTCACCTTCTTTTACACAGAAAGACAAAAGTGGACCATCTCCTCGAAGAGAACCCTGATAAGATGCGAAGCAGCAGCGTTGGGCACAGGTGGCATCGCGGGTTAAACGGCGCTATCACGGGTGCTGCGGTGAGCTCTAGAAGATTTGGTTGAAGCGATGGCTTGCATAGGTCTTGTAGGTGACCCGTACAGACATGTTTCAACGCATACCTTAGGCACGCATCAGGTTTATTGCACGTGAACTGATGAGTCGGCGGTGTAGCAAGCGGCAGTCGCAGCAGCTGTTGCGGGCAAACAGACGAGGCGGCAACTACGGGCGCCGCAGGTGAGGGAGAGAGTGACGTCAATGTGCAGCAGTGGTGTGACCTAGTTAGCACTGTGCCAACACCTGCGGCGCACAGTGCATTGGTATGGAGAGAGTGTTACACAGGCTAGTCAAAGAGCTGCTTTGCATCTAAACAGCTTGGGGAAAAATGACCATACTTCATTTCAAAATGTAGAGTTTAGAAGTGGGATTCCTCATTGTGCACACCTGTGGTCACTGAGGCACCTTAGTTGGAAGATTCTCGTGGTAAAAGCACTTAATTGTAACTTGTATTATGCCTTCTTAGCTTTGGTATTACATTCTACTATTAAGAAAAGAAAGTTTTTGCTTTAACCATGCCTTTGCTTAACAAGGTCAGGCACTTTAGAAAGTTGGTACACTCGTGTTTTGTTTCTCAGTTCAGCACAAAAGGACTGGGATTCTATTTACGGTCATCTTATCACTATTCTTGATTGTACTAAATTTTGCACTGAATTTATTGGGTTACCATGTGCCGAGTATTCTTGCTTCTTGTAGCATTGGGCTATCAGAAAGTGAGAAAGGTTTACTCAAGTATTCTAAAACTTAGCTTTGTGGTACATGTACTCAATATACTCTTTTTATTTCAGTACATATAATGTGGGCACAGACTAGGCTATGTGGACTAAAGACAGACTTTCTGAGCATGAAACCACAACATTCTTTATATATCAACTATTATGTACATATAAGTGGCACTAACATCGTGCAAGCATTTATTATAGAAGCATAAAGCAGAAAGACAGGTTTTCTACACTAGTGGTGCATGTTAAGATTGGTGAGGAACACTATATACTACTGTCACAACAGGATTGCATAATTATACACTATGCCAATTGGTCCAGTGCTTTAACACACAGTTTACGAGTGTTCACTGTTCAGAGCTGCTGAGAACTAATCCTCCTAAACATAGCCAGATTTAATATTAAACTATTGAATTCACAAGTCACACTTTTACAAAATAAACTCGTATTGAGGACAAAAAAACTAACACACCTCTTATTATAAACCCACTTGAAGAATCCCAAGTTTAATTTTGTTCAGCTTAAAACAGCTCGTACATGTTTTTAAGATTTTTCGCAAAATGCACAGATGTGTGTGAAATAAGTTAAATGATTGAACATTAAGTACAATGCATATTATCACAGGGCAAACTTATACAGTAATTTTCTAAACTCTCTTTTTGCAAATGAATGCAACTCATCACTACCTCATAAATGGGATTTTATAATGCCACTGCAGACATTGGTACCAAGATTGATGCATATGAAAGTAGGGATGATGCTTTAACTTGGCAGGCAAGAAATGCAAAAAACAAATATAACCACTTGAATTGACAGTATAACCAAATGTTGTTCTTTTTACTAAAGAAGAATGAACTGTGATCAAAGTACACACATACACATAAAAAATGGTGCTAGAGAACCTAAATAAATTATATGGTCACAACAACATTCGTGCTTGACACAACAGTACACACAAAAAAAAGGACTACTGCCTGTCAACTCAGACTGGTTGAAAATAAAAATAAAAATAATAAAGTCAAGGGCATAAGATATTGAAGGACACCAAAACTGGACCACAGCATGCACTTAAAAGCAATGAGTCTGCTGTATAACCACAACATGCAGCGTAAACTTTTCTAGTAGACAACAAATACAATCTGTTATAATACTGAAGTGTCACAACAGCAAAGTACCCATGAGGTGAAGATTGGGGGCACCACTATTTTTAGCACGTACGAAAACCAGCATATATGCTGCCCCTCTTGATGAACAAAAAATATTGCAAAACCAAATTCTGCAACACAGAAGCTGTGACATCAAAACTAGTTGGCTTATTGTGAATCTTTTGTCTCTTTAAAGTTGTCAGACCTATACTTTCTACTGCTATGTATCGGAGCTTTTTTTTTTCTCAAATAGGCTGGTTTCAATTTGACACTTTGATTCTTTTCCTCAAGTTAAAAATAAAATGACACTTCTCTAAGTTATGAAAAAATGATATAATAAAAGTCACGTAAATATGTTGCAGAGAGTAATTCTCCGTAGAAAAGATAAAAAAGAAGTTCTGCTCGATAACCTTCAAATAATAACTGCCATTTCTAGGCGGCTGCATTATTAGGTGGCATTAAGGTGTTTCAAGTGACTAAACCTCATGGAAAGACTTGTCCTGAGGTGAATGGTGCCAATGGGAGCACAAAAAAAAGAAAGTAAAAAACTCATGATGCTTATCACTTCCACCTGGAGGTGGCACTGTCACTCAAAAACAGATGTTGCACTATGAACCTGCTTAGAAGAATATATATTGAAGGATCGTGCTCGTTTGTATTGCAGCAATTAATTTGACCATTTTCTGGCTGGTTTTTTAAACATTAAGCATAATTAAATATTGTATAATTTGTGTTCTAAAATTCAGCGTCTCACGTAATAAAAGTATCTGAGGCTGATACACATATCTGTCTGTTTTGTTCAGTTCATATTTAAGGACTGCCACTGGCAATTCCTCAAAACCTACATAAAAAAGAATGATACGCTTAAGATCATAGTATTAAAAGGAGTATTTTTTTCATCTCCAATTCAACCCACGTTGTGACAGTTGGTTTTGTAATGGGCTGAAGTCATCACAATATACTATTGCAGAGAGCTTTAAAACTTTATCTGCTCATGCAATGTCTGAGGTTCAACATTTTAATGAATGCAAATGATAATAGTAACGGAGAATTCCATACTGGCAATCGGAGGCAATGATAATGATTGACTGAATGCATACAGAAAAATTGAGATAATGATATTTATAACTGTTAAAACACAGTTAGACAGCTGCAGATGTTTTAAAATTTTCAACTGAGAAAGAAGACACCATATGAGATGCTGCAAGGCTAGTGCATGAAACTAACTGTACAAAACAATGAAACAATTAAGGTGTGTGAACTAATTGACATTTTAAAGCACAGCACTGCAATAAATTTTAAAAAGACAGTGTCTTATTCTTACAACATTTGAAGCCATGTTGTAACTTGGTGTAGGCTAATACAAGTTGAAATTTCTTTAATGCCAAATCAGCAATACATATATGTGTAACAGCTGCCATAACAATTAGCTAAGATACCATGATCTGCATGCATAGATCAGGTTAAAATAAAATGCTTGAAAATACACCTACAATAAAATTTTACATTCCTTGCAATATTGACAATTTATCGGGCATTGAAGACTTATTTTGCAAATTCCTTTAGCAAATGAAAATTGTAGCATTAGCTTATATGTGCTGCGAATTCCCATGAACATTTTCTACTGCAAGCAGTTTAGTATATGATAAATGTAATAAATATTTTCTTTTACTGAAGCCTATAGAATACACTCACTAGCATCACCAGGGTGCATAATAAAACAGGAATGGTGAATACAAAACAACGTCTTGTGGATGCTAGTTCAGATCTCTCATGTGTGTGAGCGGACCACGAAGGTTCTGAGAGCAATAAAAGCAGAGAGGGAACATAGGGCTGATAGAATGAAACATGATCTTATAATCTGTTGATTCTTTCCTCGCACATATTTACAGCTTTTGTTTTGGAACTTATGCAAGACTGAACAAATGCTATAAGCAGTAATGGTTATCGAAACTGAATGTGCAAGTATGAAACAAATGATGTATGGTAGCTTAAATCTTAGTACACATGTTTACGGCTAATAGCCAACCACGAACACACATGACATTTGATGAGGTACAATAAGAACAAATAGCGCATAGAACAGTGCGAGTACACAGTTTTCGACAGACATAAATATCAACAGGCTCGGAACGTGAATAACAAGCTAAGCTGCTCCGAGTCGATTGGACCAGAATGCTGATGCCAATGTCTGAATGCGGTCAGACCTGATGTTTTCACATTGGACCTGGACGCACCTTTGTTGAAATGATAGGAACCAAACAACAGACTATGACTGCCCCACCGAGGCTTGAACCTGCTACTATGTTGTAAGATCAACAGCAGCCACACCACACAGCACTTTTTGCCACCCCCACCACTTCCCTCTACATCTCTATATTGCCCTCTATATTGCAGATTAGTTTGCGGAACATGAATTACTTGACTGCCATGACCGCTTAGAAACTAGATAGAAATGGACACAAAATGTCAACAATTTAAATTACTGCAGTTTTTTTCTTGATGTTGTCTATTCATCTTAGAGATATTGCTAGAAAATTTTAGATTGTATTTGTGCAGCTTCAAATTTTTGAATGAGGTAGTATTAACATAAGTTTTGGTGTGATTATTTTGGAAAAAACATTGTCAGAACATCTAATGAATAGTGTTGATGGAATGTTGCCCATTTATGCAGCATATTCTGCAGGCAAGAACTGCACTGTACTGCCGATATCAGTGCAATAAACAGGAACCGCATTGCGTGCATTATAAACTACCAGACGTGGGGCAGGGTTCTATCCAAGAACACTGGCACCTTCACTACTCTTGTATCCCATTAATGCGTTAACTTGCATTCCAAGTCAAAGCCATAAGCAGGGTATGTGTTCACACAGCCTGCGGTTGAATCTAGCTTGCGGTAGAGTGAGCGTGGCTTCGAATAGTTCACAGGCCTCGGAGGGGGCAGGGTTGAAGTGGGGTGAAGGGGGGTTTGTTGACCAGGCAGCTGGCCCATCACGAGGCCACAGGGCACTCTCTGGGTGAAATGCAGTGATCCCTGTGCCACACAAGGCCTGGCTTGCACTGACACCCAGGCTGACACTTCCGTCGGCAAGGCCGCTCTAGATGGTGGTTCTTGCATGTCCGCCGACATGGGGGCCCACATGGTGTATAGTCCGAGCCTCTGGGGCAGTGCATTCCTGCATGCAGTGGCAGTGAGCCTTCAGCCACATGATACATAGGGCTGCACATGTTAGTTAAATTAAACTGTCCCATTACAGTTACATAAAATTAAATTTCGTGAAATAAAAGCTCCCTGTGACTTTATTAGAACAAAACTTTCTGCACTATATGCAGACTCATTCATCTGTCTACACATGTGGTTGATACTGATAACTTGCACGTCAGGACACGCACATACAAATGAATCTTCTTAAGCCTGAAAACACAGAGTGGTTGAAGGCTCTACATGGATCTTCATGTTTCTGTTGTTAGTTGTATACAAGAGGGCAAGATGCTTCACAAGCTGTGACTGTGGTCCAAATGTACCGTTACCATTCATATTATGTGCAATAATAGTATTGTGAGTGCATCACTTTCAATGGCATTCTTTATGTTTTGGGTGCTGTCACAGTTGATTCCATGAGATTTCATGTGTAACTTCAAAGAGATGCATGCACAAAGTAGTAGATATAATATTTTTTTGCATGTGACTCAGCTCTGCATATAACCTGCACCCCTACTTCAACTCTAAAAGAAGCAAACAACAACAAAAAAGCAACAAAAAAAAAGCATATAACCCACACCCCCACTTTTTACAGTGCATTCTGCCTTTCCTTTTTTTGATGTGGGTTATATGGTTGAAATTACAGTATATAGTGTAAGGAGGCTACTCGCAGTTTATTATTCACTGAATTGTGCTCATCATCTACCAAAGTACCATCTTTGGTGTCTCCCATAAGAACATGCTACTACATCCCAAAATTGTCACCTTAGTATTTTACCTTCTTGCTCCTGGGGAAGTGCATATGAACCTTTCCACCTGCTACTCTCTCTGTCACCGCATGCTGAACTTTGAAACGTATGCATTTGCAAATTGCAAAGTGTGCTGAGTAACTGCTGTTTCAGGTGATATTAGTACTGGGCTTAGAAGAGTGAAGAAACTATTTGTGCATCGGTACTTCCTCACGGTGATGAAGTAAAGAGGGTATATATATATATATATAACTTTCCAGATGGTATATATCACTTTAAAGGGCATCTTAACAATTTTCTGGCTTTTTCAGCTCAATGACAGGTAGGACCAGTACCACATGGGAAGCTAGTATGCATACATCTGTGTGTGCATGCAAGGTAGGGATAATACTGCTAATATTAAATTGTGTGGTTTCACTTGCCACAGCTATGATATAATTACAAGGCATGCCGTAGTGGGGCTTTCCTGATTAATTTTTACTGCCCGAGGTCTTTTCATGTGCATCTAAATCTAAGCAAACAGTTTTTTGTGCATTTGGCTTCATCAAAATGCAACTGCTGTGGCACCTGTGCTTAGAAATTCCACACCTTGGCTGCTAAGTTACCGTGGTAGGTATTTGTGCATGTAATACTGGTCAGCAGGCAAGTGTGGGCTGGCTGCCCTCCCTTGGTGAGGGAGCCTATTCTACGCTGCCTCCCCCGTGCCCCTCATGAATTGGCATTCGAGTCATGGCCAGGGCGACAGTTGCTTACCTTCACAGTTTGTGATGTGCTTCCAATCTATTTTGATCCCAGCCCTGTTGCATTCCCGCGCATAGGCATTGAGTGAGTCACAGTAACACTTGTCTGATGGGAGGCACTCGCACATGTCCAGCATGCACGATCTGGAAACAAGGGTGTAAAAAGAAAAAAAAAGGGCATTAATCAACTGAATCTCCCACAATTTGCCATGTATCTATGCATCTAATTGTGAACATTTTCTGATAATATATTGTACAAGAGGCTGGTGTTATTGACATGAGTAAGGATGTTAACTGCAGCTGTTGGTGTTATTTAACAAGGCGAATGAACAATGCTGTCTAACACTAACCATTCTCACCAATAGAAAGTCTTGACCACTGTAGACACCAAGGTTGCATATAAAAATTATGGGACGTAAAGAAAGCGTGCATGCACAATATGCACACATACTACAACTCAAGCCACTTTTGGTTGTAACTCAGCTCCAGAAATTTATTAACGTGAATGAAGTATTTTTAAGTAAATGCAGGAAGAAGTGGAGTGGGAATGGCAGAATGGTTGTTAGCTGCATTAGTATTTGGGGCCACGTACTCAATTTATTGTGTTATTTTTTGCTAGCAACAATTTACATAAGGTAAGATTTTGAAAATCACAGCTGCCTTCCCTGTATCACACGTTTAAAACTTTTAATTTTGTTTCTGTGCCCACGAAATGCTTCTGTAGTCGTGTATCTGTGGGAGCATGCACAGGGACACTAAAGGTACTGCCACGGTAAAGACATGCTGGATTTACCTCCTGCAACAGTTACTGTGGGCTTTGCGTGCACCAGGGATGTACCAGTTTTCTCTGGTCATCAAGAGGACATAGCGGCATTGTAAGCAGTGGCAAACCAAGAATAAGTCGACCAACCCCAAATTGGTCTTCAGGCATGTGCTAAACAAGACCGCAAAAAGGTGCGAGCTATATAAATGCATGCCTGGGAGCCTTTCAAAGAACTCTATAGGCTGAATAAATGCAAAACTTACACATGAGAACAAACAAAGAGAGTTCCCATTATTTTGCATGCAAACCTAGTTCATAAAGTAGAACATTATTATATAATCTTTTTTTTAACTAGCCTCACCATTCTGTGAATGTCCAAAAGGGTGGTGCTATAAGTTGCATCAAACTTTAGGGAAATATTCATTTTATTAGCTCTATTCAAAGTGTTTCAATGTGTTATAAATTACAGATTACAGAAATTTCTTACATTGCATAAAAAATAACCAGTTCTCAATATGAGTTTCCGTAAGCAAATCCATGAAAGTCACCCTGAACGTTAAACATAGATTGAGACACACTAAAGAATGTCAGAAAAAAGTCTATGTGGCCTGGTTATTTTTTATCCAAGAAAGATTCTTGACAGGACAATATGCGGCATTCTAGCGATGACATTATTTGGTTATGGAGCAAAGCCAGGGTATTATTGAGGGTTCTATCTCAATGCCTGTGTTTGATTTCTATGCAGTTGACATTCACTAATTTTGACAGGACCAATGAAATCGATTCAATTATCACGCTATTTGAGTTAAGCAAGAAGCAGAAATAACAAGAAAGCAGACTGCGGACCGATTTGGTAGTATTTATGTCTTGATGATAGCACATTGTTGTATTGACTGTGCACTATTTTATCTATATAAAGTTGTAAAATCATGTAAAAATTATATTGGTGTGTCTGAAATATATATAACCACAACCCAGACTGATGTTTCTTTTGCAGAATATATTTTCTTCAATTCTGGTAATAAAAGTCGAAACCAGCTATATTTATCTTCCCAGAAAGGCTATTTTCACTCTTTATAACAATGGCAGACAACAGAATGCTACATTTGTATGATTTCAGCATGCCTACCATTGTACCGTGTTGGCAATATTACATTAAAAAAATTCAAAATTATAATGCTGATTTTGCTTTGGAGCCTGATTGTAGTGCATACATAAATTTAAGCGGTACATCTCACAAAGAAAAGAGTGCTCATCAGTATCACGCAAATAGGGTACTGCATTTATGCAGTTGGTAGCCACTTTGATGTCCTGTATTTCTCAAACGACTCTTCAAAAATTGCAAATGGGATGGTGGCACGTGCCTCAACTGACTGCTAGTTCATCTGACACAGGTATAGCTATAATCGTAGAGAGCGATTTCGTTATCAGACTGAAAATGGCATGTTGCGTGATGGGCAAACTGTTGCCACTTATGATTGCCATATTGTGATTGCATAAGTGGCTGGCCAAGCTGACATGGAGAGAAAGTTGTTGCAAATGAGGTTTTAACAGAGGAGCTGTTTCACGTGAGTCGCACCGTTTGTCGACTGCACAAAAATAGTGAAGCGGGTGAGAGCGAAGCTAATAAAAGAGGAAAGCAGAGTACAGCTATGCGATGCATAATAATGATATTGGGGGGTTTTACATCCCAAAATCATGATATGAACATGAGAGATGCCGCAGTGGAGGGCTCCAGAAACTTTGACCGTCTGGTGTTCTTTAAGGTGCCCTGATATCGCACAGTACACGGGACCCTACTGCTGTGTACTGCTCACACCGGTGGCTAGATGGAACATAAGGCGATGAATTCGGAAAGCTGAAAGGTTCTTTCAAATGGTTTGTTATGACAGCCGTGCAAAAGGCGGCAGCCCAAACTGCCTGCTGCATTCAACATGGCTACTCCGCTCCCAGGCAGGTAGTCACCACAGCGATACCACCTGGCAGTACACAACAGTCCCTTCCCCCCACAATGTACTTCAGAGAAAGTCTTTAAGTAAGCTGGTCGCCTGACATGGCAAGGGCAGCAGCAACCCGCTTGAACTGTGTCTACGCGCGAGTTTTGGCCTAGCAGAGCTAGTTTCTGGCCTGTGGCTGCTCAGAAAACTCGGAGTCCACATGGTGACGCTGCATCTGGTCGACATGTCGCTGCAGTTCCTGACCGTCAGGCGTGTGAACCTGGTATGACAATGGTCCCACCACCTCAGCAACACTTGCTCGAACCCAGCATGGTCTAAGAGTGTAGTTTTGCACATACGCTGCGTCCCTTGAACGCAAAACTGCGCACTGGTATTTGCTCTTCTTTAGTGCAGACGGTCTGGCCTTAGTCATCTTTCATTCTATCGGGCTGTAGTCTGTCTAGAAGTGTGTTGGAACGGTGATTGATAAGTAGCTCTGCAGGGCTCCTTCCTGTACTAGTGGATGGAGTAACATGCTGATGAAGCAGGAAAGCTGTTAGATGTCAGTTCTAGTTGCCTTGGATGATCCATTTCAAATGGTCCTTAGTTGTTTTGACCATGCCCTCAGCCTGCCTATTGGCTGCTGGATGAAAGAGGTAGACGTCGCGTGGTGAGTCAGGTTACCTGCTAAAAACTGTTGCAACTCGTCAGACACAAACATGATTGATTGATATGTGGAGTGACATTTGAAGCATTCGAAGTGACAGGATGGGTGGGGTTACCTTGTCCAGCTCGAAAATTCCCAGGAGGGGTTGTAGTTTGTCACAATCATGAACTCACGCTCATATAGTCGTGAAATTTCTTCACGCTCGAAACTATGGCCAGTGATTCAAGATCAATCTGTGCATAGTTGCGCTCTGGCTCTGATTAATGTGTGCGAGTAAAATGCAACGGGTACCTACCTAGACTCTTCTAGTCTGTTGCTAACCTTTGCCCCAATGGCCACAGGGCTTGCGTCGCAAGCTAAAACCACAGGCTTAGTTGGGTCATAGTTTGTCATGACGGTGTCCGAGGAGAGGAGGCCCTTAAGTGCATCAAATGCCTTGCTGCCTCATTCCCCAGGCCCACACTGCCTTTGCGTCCAGAAGACGGTAAAGGGCCTCGGCAACTGTGGCCTCACCCTTCAAAAAACTGTGATAGAAATTGAGCAGGCCAAAAAATGCTTGTAGCTCTTGCTTATTCTTGGGAGGTGGTGCCTCATAGATGGCAGCAACTTTCTTATCCGTGGGAAGAATACCAGCAGCACTTACAAGAGAACCAAATAATTCTACTTTCAGCACATTAATAACGTAATTTCTCTTTTTGACCAGCAGGTTGGCATCCTTGAATTGTCGAAGCACCTTGTAAAGACATCATGCAAGTTCCGCTTGAGTCACAGCAGCAATAAGTATGTCATCAAAGTATGGAGCTACCCCAGGAATGTTCTTGAGGAGCCCATCCATTAGCATTTGAAGATTCAGGGAGTACTGCTTATCTTCACTACAGTCTCTTTACTATATATGCCCCTCAATTCGTGGCGATGGTCTGAGCATTGGCTGATGCTTCATCTACGGACAGTTGTTGATACGCTTTGGCAAGGTCTAAATTCACGATCGCACTTCCCTCCGGATAAACATGACAGCAACTGACTACAACAGGAATCAGATATCTGTTCGGAGCCTTGTTAATTGTGGATTTGTAGTCCCCACATATTCTAACATCACCATTGCTTTTGAATACGGTCGACCACAATGGGCGTCTCACATATTGGCTGTGTCACAGGCTCCAGCACTCCCTGCTGAACTAGGCGGACCAGCTCCTTCTCCACTTTCGGTTGAATTGCAAAAGGTAAGGTGTCTCCATGTATGAGCCGCATTGGTTGAGTGTTGGGGTCAAGGTGCAGAGATACTGGTGGGCCCACATAGTTCCCAAGGCTCTCCTCAAATACCTCACTGAACTCTGTGAGCGCAGAGTGGACCACCATTTTTTTTACCTGAGAGACACCTGTAATTATAATGCCGTGGTCTAAACCAGCCAACCCCCACCAGGTTGGGAGGGTGCCCCTTGCTACCATGCAGTACCATCACCAGATCTGAAAACTCCTTGTACTCCACGTGGACGTTGCAGGACCCCATAACATTCACTGGACTCCGCTGATAATTGACCACTGCTGAAGAGAAGTCAAGCCAGTGTCAGCTCTCCATTGCACTGCTGGAGGCGGCGAATGTCCTTTCGGTGAGGATCGAGAAATCCGATCGAGAGTCCATGTCTATTTCACAAGTCTGGCCCTCAATAGCAACCTTTGCTCGAAGCTTGCGAGACGCATTCTGCGCCGACGCGATTGATGTAGTAGAGACTGGTGTAGTAGAGCACATCATCATGAGGCAGTTCACGTCGTACACCAC